ACATACCTTTGAGTGTGACAAAATGTAGACGGCGTCGTTTTCCAATTTTGTATGGGAAACAACAACACCACAGATTTTACGGTTAGAAAACGTCTTAAAATGTAGACGTCTACATTTTCAGACACTATTTGGAACGAACTGTGAACACCCCAACTGTATTTAAAATAGGAAGTTTAGTATTTATTGCGATTTCCAATCTTATAAAAAGGTATGGTGTATATTTGTTCGGCTTAAATATAAGACGATGACAAAATTGCTGCTTGCTTGCTTGTTGGCGTTTGTTGGTTCATTTGTGTGTGTTTCAAAATTGGTGTTCTTGTTCGAGCGTCTTCTTTGGCTTTTAGATTGGAAATGCGATGAGTATGAGAAATTGCGCGATATTTGAACGTATAAAGTGGAAAATGTACATAACGAGAATATGGTAAGAATACAAGAATACAAAGAAGTAAAAACATGATGACAGGGCTGCCGTAAACTTTGGTGACTATTAGGTTTTTTTTTTGTAGCTGTTTCGTGGTGAAAGTCCTTTATGGGGACCAAATTTCCTCAGAAGAAATTGAACGCATGGTTGCTTTTGCGTCCCAAAAGAATGAATATTAGAAAACATTAAAAAAAGTCTAAGGTAATACAATTATATTCAACTAAAAATAGTCACAATAATTTGCACTTATGAGTTAATGTGATAATCATGTGTAAAAACTCTTTTCAACTATTATTTTTCACAAAATAATTTTGCGGAACAGATTGCTCGGAGGGCTTGTGTTGTTTACCAAGAAAATGCATCCCTGTTGGTTTTTATTTTTGCATCGCATCCCGGAGAGTTTCTATTTCTCGGTAATTCGGTTTGTGAAATGGTAAAAAAATTATTAAAATTTATTTATTTGATGTGTATACCATTTCATTAATGCAATTTTCTGTATTTTCAGACTATTAATTACAAGCACAGCATCATCAACGGTGATTGCAAGAACTACTGCAATTCCTGCGGTTTTTCCTCTTGGTAAATACGTTTTGGTCGTGAGCAAGGGTGGTCTCCCAAATCGGCTGGGAATAAGGTTAGTCATTTTAAATTTTATATCTTTGTTCGTCGAAATTATATGACAAGTCATCATTGCAGGCTATTGTTGCAGAACAAAACGCCGCAACCACTGCTGTGGTAAATATGTTCCAGCAGAACTGCCCACCGCCGTCAGTGTAATGATTTCGATAGCTGAACAAACGCCATCTCCTGGGCATTCCCACAGCGTGCCGACACTAGCGCAATAGTACCATGTCATTGGCAAAAACACTAAGGGCTGCTGGCACATAGAGGTTTTAAAGTTTTTGGTATCGATGAACTTACTCGAATAAGACGATGGCCGAAAACATATGATGAAACATCTTCTGGCATGCCTTTGAGAATCGTTAAGTCAGACGGGGGCTTCACATACGATATTTCACACATGGCTGGAATTCGTTAGCGGGCATAGCACACATTTACAAAATATTTATCGTTCTGCAGAACGTGAATGCATATTCGATTCCGATTTTATGGGTTGATTACGGAGGACAACCGAACTTCAGTTGGTTGGCCAGTGGCTGAAATGGTATTCCCGATGGCAACTAGCAACTGAAAGCTGGACACTAAGTTGCTATATTGGCAACTGCATTCTTGTGGCTGCCGGGAAATTTTGATTGAGATACTTTATTTCTTTTTTCAACTTTTTTTTTTAATTGTACCACCTTGAACATTATGAAACTTAATTATTGCTATTCATAATAAAAAAAACATTTTCATTTCAGTGGCGCTGCCCATCGGCAACCAAACTGAGGTTCCGTTCCCATCCATAATCGATCCATAAGTCATAATCGTACGAAGGCTATCATAGAATCCATCGTAGTCCGATTTTTCGTGAAATCTACGAAAATGCTATTAAGTTCGAGTAGCTACGAACGCAGCGCTTGCTTTGAATACATACGTTCATAGCAGTTCAGATTCAGTGATCGCTCTTTCGAAGATTTTAAGAAAAATCGGACTACGATGGATTCCGCCACCAATATGTTTTCTCCTTTGACAAGATGTTGGAGAATCGCGGCAGCACAGCCGTATACCTACTCTATGCCCTTACGCGCATATGCTAAATTTCTCGCACCTAGCTAAAGTGCTTGACAAAGGCAGAAGCACTTCAACATTATAACTTAAAGTTAAAAAGTTTAAGGCATGCATTAAAGGAATACAACAGAACCAAAAAAATGTTCTCAAAACTATTAAACATAAAAAATTGCACGAATAAAATTCATAATTTAAAATAAAATATCCCAATTGTTTTTTATATGTACATACATATTTACAAAATGAATCTTAATGCACTCACAGTAAGTCCTAAACATATAAATGACTAATTAGAAAAATAATAAATAACAGTAATATGAAAAAGTATGTCGATAAATCTCTAAATAATTTTAAGCAAAAATACAACCGACTTCAATGCGCATTTAGGTCGTTCTGGTTACGTAGATCCGACTGTCCTCCCTTTTTTTAAAATCGTTAAAAAAATGAATACGTATTCTACAGAAAAAAATCAAGATACATATTTAAGGATTTTAAGTAAAAATAAATAAAGGAAAACTTGTTCGTGATATCTCGACCAAGGTGTATTCATGATACAAAAATCTGAAGGTAAAACCGCCGAAAGGCAGCCTGAACATTTTTAAAGTTTGCTAACATTACAAAAATGTTCTCAAATTTCCAATCTCACAAATACATTCTCGTTTTCAGTCTCAAATAAATGAAAATTTCAATATTTTCATCTATTTGTTTTTTGTTTTACTTTTATTTGGCATTTGAGTTGCTCTCAAAATTTCAATTTCATAAAATAGACAAACTTCAAAAAATATATGATGGCCGACGAATTGAGCAAGCGGTTTTACCTTTAAATATTTGTATCATGGGTGTATTAAACAAGGGGCCGTATGCAAATGCTTTTTCTTAAAATTTCAGACCTTTCACTAAATTTTTTCAAATAAATTTATTTATTTATTATTTATTTATTTATTTTTTATTTAAGTGAAAGGTATGAAAATCTGAGAAGTAGTAATTGCTTGGTTTTTATGCATACGGCCCAAGGTGTTATTGACAACTCAGTGCGGCTCTCTTTTAAGATACTATTATGTAGAAAAATATAAACAAACGATTCAAAATTCATAAAAATTTTTTTTCAATTTGACTTTATAGGATGGTTCTTCTGAGAGCACGGTCAAATTCAATCACGCTTTGTTAAATACATTTTGATCTCTACCAAATAATATACTTCCTCTGTAAATATTTTATGAAGTGTTCCAAAATTCGCTCCGAGCGCGTTCACTGTTGATAATTTGATTTAAATAGTTTGTCATAAAATTAATACTATAGTTTGATCGGAGTTAATATATTCTTCAGTAATTAATTATATTATATTAAAACATAACGTCGTTTAAAGTAAAAAACCGCGTATCGTCATTCTGCAAAACCGCGTAACTAACATTGGTTGACAAAAATTGGATTTGCTGAAACAAGCTCTTGGCTCATTCCATATCCATTCGTCCTGAATTATACTAGCCAGAAATGAGATTGCTTTATAAAAAAGAGAACCATTTTCAAATATGAGTGCTTTTGCCCTCTAAAAAAATAATTTTTACAACTTCACATACGCGGTTTTGCATTTTGCTGATACGCGGTTTTGTATTTTGTTGATACGCGGTTTTGCACTTTAAACGACGATAAGCTTATGAGAAATTATTTAGTCTTAACATGCATATTTTATATCGTGTTCCAAAATTCGCTCAGAGCGCGTTCACTATTGATCTTTTGATTCAAATATTGTTTGTCAAGCATTCAGTAGTGAAGTTTGATCGGAGTTTATATATTATTCAGTAATTAATCATATTAAATTGAAATATAAACGTATAATGTGGTAGAAAGTTAGAAATTATTTAGTGTTAATATGCAGAATTCGCTCCGTGTTCCAAAATTCGCTCCGAGTACGTTCACTATTGATCATTTGATTTAAATAATTTTTTCTCAAGCATTCAGTACTATAGTTTGATCGGAAATTATATATTCTTAAGTAATTGATCACATTTTATTAAAATATAAACGTTTAATAGGGTAGAAATTGTGAAATTATTTAGCTTTAGCATGTATAGTCGCCAGACACAATTGCAGAAAACTGCAACTACTCGTGAAATCTTACAATAAAAGCAATGTAGATGAAAGTAATAAATATTATTATTAAAATTAGATCCATATATAAACATTTTTCATGTATTTGAAGTAAATCGGAATACATTTTTACATATAAGATAGTTTCCATTTAACTCATAAAGTACATATTTCACTACAAATATTTTTAAGATCGTTTCGAATTGCAAAAATAGCGCTAATTAGTTGTATTGAAGTATAAAACATTTTATTACGTTCATGTTTACTTATAAAGCGCATAACAGTATTTCTCTCGCCATTTATCCGATGTTAAAATATTTCACCACATTATTTTGCTGCACAGCACCCTGAATACGGCAAAACAGTTGCTCGCAACCCCCCCCCGCAAGTCCTTTATGGGGACCAAATTAACAGCCACAACAACAAAAACCTTTCCTACTGGTATACTGTGAATAGAAAACACAAAAGAGAATGCGAAAAAAATTGCTTTCAAGACTTGACGTGTCTGAAAGAGGACTTAAAAAAATTCTGTGGAAGAATCTGGAAAAAAATGTGGTAGATTTCAAAAAAATGTAGATGTCAAGCTTTGGATCAAACTTTGTACAAAAATTTAAGAAATTCTGTAAGGTTTCACCTAACAGCCCTATTCTGTTGCCCTCACAAAAATCACCGCACTCATAGCCCGAACACAATGAAAACGACGAGCTACAAACCACAGCTGTCAAATTATTTTAACACGTACTCTTATGTAGATAATTATTTTGGCGACGACCGGGCTACACGACGGCTGTGGTTGTGGCCAGATTAGATCTATTTCTATTTTTCTGGCGACAGATAAGGTTCTTCCTCTTCTTTTATGTCAAACTGATACAAATTCATGATGTCGCTGCCGCGTTCAAAGAAATCATGTCGCCATCGACAAAGCGTTTAGATAATGAAGATGACAAACTGGAAGCTGTGGTCCGTAGCTCGTCGTTTTCAATGTGTTCAGAACTTCACTATTGTGAGGTTGCTGACTATTGTGAGGTTATCCCTATGCTGGCGTAAATTCAAAAGCTCATACGCTCACAATTGTCAGGAAATTTATGATGTACGAATGATACCCTCACAAGAGAAAAACAGCCGATTTTTATTGAACAATTGAATAATGTTTTGTTAATTTTCGTTCGCTATCAGTGTCTGTGTTAAGTTTTTTTTTTTTAACTAAAAGTATATTCAGTAATGGCGGAGTTATTGCTTGTTTTTTGCGGCAGTTTCGGAAGAGTTAGAGCAAGCACAGGATTTCATTTCCATACAAACTTTTGCTCCAAGTTGTGGGTTGCCAACTGTGTGAAGTACTGGAGCTACTCCTGCTTTGTTATTTCTTTTAAATTCGCCTAGAAAATAAATAAAATCCGTAATTATCAAAAAAATAAACAAATTGCAAAAATATTTACTTTTCCCGTTCTTCAGCAACCATCTTTTGTATTTATTTTATTTACGACACAGCTTAGAGCTGGAAAACTATCGATGGCACTATCGATAGTATCGATGGTTTTTGACTATCGAAAACATCGATGGTTTTGTAAGCACTATCGATAGTTTTCACTCGTACATACATTATTCAGTAACATACATATTTCAGAGCGCAGATGCTACTTGGAGCTAAAAATCGTTGATAAACTTTTGTTCCTTGAAAAAGAAAATATCGTCATATGTTAGCAATTCTGGGCTCGAATACTCATCACGTAAAAACGCCGTTTTCGGATTATGACATACGTGAGCGTACTCTTTATCCCATTCAGCTTCTAGGACTGACGGTATCACGTAATTTTCTTTCGTATGGTTTTCGATCCGTGAACGGATGTTACGATTCGAGCCCTGATCTCATTTTCAATAAAAGTTGTTGTGTTTAATTTTTGGACTGTTTTAATCAAAACTATCGATAGTGTCGACATTTTCGATAGCATCGATACTATCGATGGTTGTGACTATCGACCATCGAAACTATCGATGGCCACGACCATCGATAGTTTTCCAGCTCTAAAACAGCTGTTAGACAGCAAAATGCTTTTGTTGTTGTTGTTGTAGCGGCACTACTAAGCCCCACCTTTTTCGGGTCTACGTTCAATCATTTTCGTCAAGCTCAACTAACGGGAGGCCCAGGAAACGAGCTGTTTCAATGGGTTCGGACCAGAGGGAGAGGGGTGTTAGCTGAGTCGGATTGAGCTGGCACGTGAAGAGGTGGTTGGTGTTGTGGGGGGATTCTCCACATGCCGGGCACTCATTGGGGATATTGGGGTCGAGTCTGGACAGGTAGCTGTTGAGGCGGCTACAGTATCCAGACCGTAATTGAGCCACGTGTGACGTGACGTGTATGCCTAACTCTAACCTGACCTCCTTCGTCCAGGTGGTGAAGAGGGTCGCCGTTGATTTCGTTGGGGAGAGTGTTAGGCTCCTTGCAATGAAGAAGCGAGAGAGGCTGGAGAGATAGTCGTTCACTTTTGAGCAGAGGTCATCAATTCCATTCCCAGACGCCAAAATCGAGCAATCGTCAGCGTATGAGATCAGGGAAACTCCCTCAGGTGGTTGAGGAAGCTTCGAGATGTAGAAGTTAAATAGTAAGGGGGAGAGAACACCACCTTGTGGAACCCCTTGTTTAATCCTTCTTGGTTTCGAGGTTTGATCTCGGAAGATTACTGACGACTGTCGACCACTCATATAATTCGCCGACCATCGCTTCAGTTCCTGTGGGAGTGAGGAGGCCTCGATGTCTTCTAGTAGCGTGGATTTAGGCCACGAGTTATTTGGGTGTTTATGGCGTTAGTGCTGTTGTTGTGCTGTGCACTTTACGGAATCCATGCTGGTGCTTCGCTGGGGTCAGGTGGCAAGTGAAGTATGGGAGTAGTAGGGCCTCAAGCATCTTCGCGACCGGGGAAAGGAGCGTTATCGGGCGATAAGAGTCTCCTTTGTTGGCGGGCTTCCCCGTTTTCAGCAGTGGGACCACTCTCCCTGATTTCCACACATCAGGAATGATGAGTGTGGCCATGGACAGGTTGAGGGCCTTCGTTAGGTAAGCTACTCCCTTAGGCCCTAAATGTT